GCTTCATTGCTTGTGCGTCCACTTCTGGCTTCATTTTGGCTTATTGTTGCGTGATAGTTGGTACCATATTCCTTCTCCAGCGTGGTAAAGGATGGTAGTTTGCAGCTTTCATCTGTTGCTCCATCTTAGAGCCATAAAATCATAAAGGTTGTAAAGGACCCTTAAGATCACCAATTCCAACCTACAGCCCTACACCACCCTAACACCAAACCATCTCCTCAAGTGCCACATCCAGCTGGTTTTTAAACACGTCCAGGGACTGTGACTCCACCAACTCCTTTGGCAACTATTCTGATGCTATCTTATCTACGCAATCTTTGTGTAGTTTACATCAGAGTAAATTAAGGTTTGCTTTGGGCGGCAGGTGGGTAAATCTGTGTAACAGTAGGTTGTGGTATCAGAACTAATTATTGAAGCTGGGTCTCCGTTAACACAGGGACATGGAAATTTTTCCTTCTGGCATCAGCTGTGCCCTGTGGCAAGGCCCTTCTAATTGAAAACACGCAATTGTAACAGTGGGCATCAAACCACTAAACAGACAGCACGCTGTCTTTGTGCTGTGGATTCTGCGGTGATCAAGTTGAACCATTACATTCCTCTGTCCTCTCTTACCAGTGTTGAGACCTTGTAAGTCAGTAAAACTCGAGTCATCAAATGCTCCAGCACAGTGCTGAGTTACACTAGCAAATCTGACCTGTACCTGGACGAGAAACTAACTTCTCTTTCCTGTTTGTTTTCAGTAATCCCCAAGCATCAGAAAATAAAACAATTTCATGCACAATTCTGTGTTTGGTGAGGCAAGTCCACGCTGGAAAGGCACAAGTAGGTTCAGTTGGCCTGAACAGGTACAGCTGAGATCTGTGCTGGAGCTATACTGCTGTAACTGTTCTGTTCTTTGTTCCAGTGTAAAGAATTGTTAGATGGCATTCCACTGCTCGGCCTGTACTAGCTGTTGCATGCTTTCTGGAAGAGGTTCAGGAAAGTGAACTTAAATTTTGACTGCAGTGTTAAGAGATATGTTGGGTCAATAATTCAATTTCAGTGACCTGATAATAGTCATAGGCCACAGTGAATTCTTTCCCTTGGTCTCATTATTTGGTCTCTATTTTACCCTTCTTGGTATATTTATCTGTCTCATACATTTAAGGGAAAAGTATCCAGCTTGAATGATGCTTGTTGAGAGTGTAAATGAAAGCACGCTTTCACTTTGGTGTTGCTTCTGGTCAAAATCTTCTTTGTGGTAAGTAACGTTTTGTGTTCTCAGTTCTTGGTGTATAAAGGAGGGACACTTTGGCCCGTTTGCTTATGCATGAGAGTTGTCAGTATTGAAAGCATGCTAGTTATGAACTTCAGTCACACGCTAGATACAAATTGTTGAAAACCTGTTGTACCAGTTTGACTATAACAATTTGGACATTTTACTTAGAGTGAGCAACAGGAGAAGAGGTGACCAGCTTATTTTCTGGCATTGAATGAAGGTAGTTTTCCCACATAATTCACTGAAAGCCCTGAGACACAAGTAATGCGCTTCATAAGTTTTGGGCAATTTAGAATGGAAGTTTCAAGTTCTTTCTCAAGATCCTTTCTTTAATACAGTACATCTGAGTATCTGTCAAATTCTTCTTGGTTGCTGCAGGATAAACTGGAAGTGAAACTCATGAACTCAGTAGAGATAAGCTAGACTTACCTGGATATAATGGAGAGCAGGAACTGGCAGATTTGGTTGCTTAAGAAACGCAGAGTAAACAAGCCATGAGTCATGTTGCATGTTTGGGAGGGGTGGAAGAATTGTTGTAGTGCACTGAAACTTCTTGCTATTTTAAATGGTGGGCATGGGTTGGACTGGAAGCTAGACTAGTTATATGTAACTGTTAATAACCACGCTTGTTATAGTACAAGAGTCTCAATTAGACTTGCCTCCAGCTTCTTTCCTGTCTTCATGTAGCTAATCTGCTTCCTGTGCCTTCTTGCAGCTTGAAGCTGCCTTTTCCCGCTTGCTTCACTTCAAGCTCTAAAGTGGCGTTGAATTCAGTAAAACTTCTTTTTACTACTTGATAAAAAGATATTTTATTGATGAAGTCTGGTACTGAATCATTGTATTTGTGATTGGAGAGGCAGAAGTAGTCTTACAATAGTCTTGCTAATGAGTAAGGAAATGAGATGTGGAGATGTTAGGCAATGTGGCAAAGTGTTAGCTACTCAGTAGCTGCTCAGTCCTGCCAGCACAGTGGCACTGTAGGGTGGGCGGACCTGGGGATGTCCTGAAGCAGAGTAGGCTTTGGTGCCTCATGGCTGGGTTGGGGTCTCCGGCCTTCTGGATGCAGGTCTGGCTTAGGTTTCTGAAAATACTCTTGCAGGGTTGATTTCCATGGCATGGGATGAAATCGGTACACATGACAGCGTTGGTCACTGGTGATCCAGGGGCTGGAGCAGCTCTGCTATGAGGACGGGCTGCGGGAGCTGGGATTGTTCAGTCTTGAAAAAAGAGAAGTCTATGGGGGGACCTATTAGGTCCCTTCCAGTACCTGAAGGGAACCTACAGGAAGGCTGAGGAGGGACTTTTTACAGGAGTGTCCAGTGATAGGACAAGGGGAAATGGGTTTAAGTTGAAGGAGAATAGATTTAGATTAGACCTTAGGAAGAAATTTTTCAGTACGAGGGTGGCAAGATGTCTGAGAGGGAGGGGTAGCTGCTTCCTGCTTAAGGAACTACACGAGTGTTACTGTTTCACTGCAAAGTTCATCCGAAGTTGTCATCCTCACAGTATAAATTAGTGTTTGTATTGCTAATATTACTTTCTTCTTCTCTCTTGAAATGTAATTCCTCTCTGAAAGGAGTATGCATGTCTTTAACAGATACACAGCTGCTACCCATTTGAGGAATGGACTACTGGCACGCTATTTTTATTTCACCTTTTATCAGTTGTCTTGTCCAATTTATTACTGTTTAATGTCTGATGAGATGCTCTTTTTAGGTCAAGTAACAGTGTAGCTACAATAGTTGTGGCGAAAACATGTGGTAAGCTTTGGAGATAGGTTGCACGATCCTCTTAAGGAAGAATAAATTTTTTCCCATAGAAAGGCATTACAGCACAACGTGACAGAAGCTCCTGACTTTGCTTGACCTGCCTCCTGTCAGTATCTGACAGACAAAAGTAAAGCACTGGAAAATCAGAAATGCGTGCTGCTTAGAAGCTGCCAGGATGACTTATAGGATGGTTTATATTGTAGTATATTACCTACCAGGAATGGGCAACTTTGCAAAACTTTGCAAAAGATTCCTGAAATAATACGTCAACACCTACAAAGAAGGAATATGGTGTTAGGACAGTATCGAACAGCTCTCTACAAGCTATGTTAACAGCTATTGTACTGTCACTTTGATTAGTGGAGTTGTCCAGCAGAGACACAGAATAGATGCTGGGATCAGATCTCGAATGATCTCCTCCCATGTCTTCAGAATGCCATGAGTCTCTTAGGCAGGAGAACCATAATTGGTGCGAGTGGTTATATGAAGTACTATTTTTGTTCACCCTTTCCTTCTGTTGCAATCAGTCCTTACAGTAAACCTGTAGGAGGCGAACCCCATATTTCGAGCTTCAGTTTGCAGTAGGAACAGCCAAGCGTTCAAATTCAGGTACTATTTATACATCAAGTGCTGGAGCTAGAAGTAGAAAGATGTTACTGAAATAAGTGCATTCTGGAAACTATAGAATGATCTTATTGGAACTGTCTGACTGTCGGGTTTTGACGTAAGTCTTTGGCCACATTAAGGCTTCTTGATGAAGAAACAGTGTGATGAGACACCTCTGTGTGGTGGAAACAGAGGCCAATGAGACTAAATTCTCAGCCATTGGAATATGGTCTGTTTAGAATAATTGATGGTGTTTATGAAAATTTTAGTCCAACACAGTCTAAAAATACTCAGAACACTTGAAATGTGTTGCTGCACATAAACCAAAGAAAATTCAGAATTCTGTCAAGAAAGGCAGGCCCCTGTGCTGTGTTCCAGGGCTGGGCCTGAGCCCGAGAAGAGGAATGAGAACAAGGCCAGGTGTGTACTGTTTCCTTCCGTGCTTTTCTCTGGCCTCTAAAAACCACAGCTAGAGAGTACTTCAGAGCTTGAACTTACCATAGCTGCTCCTAGTCCAGAAACCACATACTTGTTTAGTGGCTGCGCTAAATATGTCCTTGAATATTGCTTCACTGTTCTATTAAGATTTTTGCACTTCATTGTGGTAACGTCCCTTATGTGGCTGAATTAGAAGGCTGGTAGACGTTATGTTGTAGCTTGACAAGAGACATACAAAAAGCACTAGCTACTTGGGGAATTCTTAGAAGAAACGTGGGCATTTTCAATCACACCGTATCTACTTTTAGAAATCATTATCATGTGGATATGCAGATTCACAGTCGTAGAAGCTTCAGCATTTTCATGTCTGTGTGTCATTCTTTGTGTGAAATGAAGCTTTCTCTCACCTTAATGGTTTGCCAAAAACTGGTGCTGTAGATTTAGAGCAGACAGGCATCTTGAACTTTTTACCATTCCAGATGTCACGGCACTTGATTGTAGAAAACTGGAACCACTTAGTTCCTTTAAAATTTGCATTCTAGCTCACAGGAGATGTTAAGATTATATCTCATTATGGGGAATTTGGGAAATACCACAAACATCTTCAGTGACATGTGACTTCAGTTGTAAGCAAACATGTAAGTTGTTATTTCATTTCAATGTGTATGGCTCTAGAAGCTTTTAACTGGTATGTGCTGTAGTCTCCAAGTCTCTGTATGAAAGAACAAACGGAATAGAAGTTTGTTTTCATTACACTTTAAATATCCAAGGAGATAAAAGGAATTTTTTTAATACTAGCTTGATAGGTTATTTCCTGAACAGTGACAGGGTGCAGTACGTGATTAATTCTTCCTCTTGTTGCTGCAAAGTGCAAGAATGCCAGGCACCAAATATGGGAACCCCACTTCTGGAAGATCTCTTAACCACATGTTGAAATACTTTGCTAAATCCTGGTCTTAAGATGCCAAGTGTGAGAAACAAGATAAACTGGTAAATCTTTTAAGATGACTGTAAGGTGGGGATGCTTCTGTAGCAGAGTAGTCTAATGGAAAAAGTCAGTCTATCAAGTATGTTCAAAATCAAAAATACCAGTGGAACTTGCGAGGAATGATGAATGAAGGTACAGGGAATAGTTTGCATCTCCCATTTCTGCTGTTTCAGATTCTTGGACTCTAATTCATAGCTGTGAGTTGAGAGAGTTTATCCAGGTCCTGAAGGAGCAGGTTCCACAAGGTGTATTGGAGAGCGTACTCGCCACTTGCATCTCTTCCTTTTTAGGCTCATTTTACAGAGATTCTGTTAGGTGAAATGCACCAGTGAGAAGAGCTGCTAGTGCTTTCCTGCTGCAGGGACAAGGCAAAGGGCAGGAAGGGGAAGCTGTGCAGCTGGTAGCAAGAGCTGTGCTACTGCAAAGGATGCAAGTCTGCTCTGCTGGGGGCTCTGGTAAATGTTGGTCTGTGGCAGATCTAAAGAGCCTGCCTGGGCACCCTGTATGTGTTGTAGTATCTTTTGGGAGGGAAGCAAATAAATATGAACGCAGCATTTGAACAAGTTAGGAGGTCCTTGGAGGCAGTGCAAATTGCTGTTTTGCTGTGTTGTGTTGGATTTCTGGAGGTTAGGTGGCAGATTAGTTTGTTAGTGTGTGATGCAGGCTTGCTGGTTGGGGTTTTATTCTGTGTGGATGCGTTCTCAGGCACTTTCACTTTGTGCTGGATTTATCTCCCAACTGGTGCCATTTGACAAGACTGACTTTAATAATATTTAACACTGATTTTTGGGTTATCATTGTGTGTTATAAATTTGTGTAGTCTTGACAGATGTAGATAGGAAAAGGACAGTGTTAGTTTTTAGTATTTTAGGGTATGTATCTGTTAAAGAGAGATTTGCAAATAATTGAGCTGTGATTGAATTTGACTTGAGGTAATATCACAAGTTAACAACTTACAATTGTAGAACAAAAAGCTATGGGAATGACTGGCACTAACTATTTTGGAGGTAAAGGGGCTAAGAATAGAGAGAGGAGAGTAGAATAGAAGGAAATATTGTATTTGGCTTTATATGTAGTACTGCTGGTTTTAAAAGAAAGTGTGAAATCTGTGAATGTCCAAAGACATGATGCTGTTCTTACTGTGATGCTGGTGTTTTTTCTATGTGGTATTTGTAACTGTGCCCTTTGGAACTCTAATCATAGATTACAAAACAATGAATTGCTAATTGCACCAATTATGTGTCTTTAAGTGTTGATTTTTTACTTGTCTTGTAGATAGCATGATAGGAAGCCAGAAACACCCAGGAACTTCTTGATGAATCATTTCCTTTTAAATATTCTTTACATTATGTTAATTAGGTGAAATAGCAAGCTAATAGATAGATAATTGGTAATCATTTGTACTAAGCAGCCCTACCTTTCACGCACAGTTCAGTTTTGTAACCAGAATGTGAAGGCTTAAGCACAATACACAAATGATGGTTCTGATAGAAAAATCAAACTGTGAATTACAAGTCTATATAAAAGTATTGAGGTTACTAGTGTATTGCCTTCTGTCTTTACATTGTACCTATGAATGTATTATGAAGTTTGTAACTCTAGCACAGAGTAATCATTCATCAGGCCACTTACAGAGTGTCAGATTTTTTAGGTGTACATAAAGCCTGCTGGTAACTTTTTTCCTGATACTTTCTTTTCAGCAGACCTGCAGGCTTAGGTTTCTACACCAAATACAGAGGTGATCTAGAGAAGTAAGAATTCAACACTGCAACATGCTTTATATAATACAGAAACTTAAAAATAAAATGTTTCTGCATTTCAGTCTACTTGTGACCTTTCATATTGGTGTTGCCTTGCTGTGCAAGACCTTGAAAACAGCTATATTACAAAATATACAGCAGAAAAAGAATAAAAGTAGCAGAATTTAAAAAAATGTTTGCATGATCACCATTTCATTTTCTTTATTGCTTGGGGTTAAAGTTTTTAGACAATGAGAAGTGGCATGCCTTGAAAAATAAACACTTTCCTCCTGGGGCTAGGCCTACGAAAAGGTGAGGCGATCCCACAGTAAATTTGTAACAAGAAGTGGCAGGTTTTATGTGGCAGGCACACTGAGCATTGTTTCCCAAGGCTTCCAGGCCTGGACTGGCATCTAGTTTGGTTCCTGCTCTATTGTTGTAAGTGTGCCTGTTCGAAAATGCATCTAGTTCTCCTCCATCAGAGAAGGTGGTGAACCAGGAAGTGGCAGAGTAACCGTGGAAAATCTGGTGGTATATTAAATGCAGAACAGCACAGCTGGATCCCTTGTTGAACTGAAGTGAGGGTGATGTTGGAACACGTTGCCTGGGAAGGCTGTGGCATCTCTGTCCTTGGAGATATCCAAGACTCACTTGGATGTGGTCCTGCACAACCTGATCAAATTAGACACGCTCTGAGCCAGGGTTCTGCTCTGTGGCCTCCAGAGGTCCCTTCCAACCTGAATTATTATTTGGTACTGTGAATGGGCAGTTTGTGCCTGGGAGTTAGGGTGCCACAGAGTCAAGTGGCTGGCTAGTAATTCCTCCTGGCTATGCCCATGGTGTATACGATCCCCCATGAGGGAATTTCTGCCCTCCAAGTGGAGAGTGAATTCATTTTTGTGTTCTTGTTTGTTCTGCAAACTTGCAGATTACTGGTTTTAATCTGAAACTTTAAGACCCACATAATTAGTACATTTCATAGACATTAAGAAGCTTTTGTTTGTATGAACTCCTGGATTTCTAATGCGAGAAAAATTCATATGTCTGCTGAGGAAAAGCGTACAGTTTTGTTCCCTGTTGCTTCTGTTCTGCAGCCCTGAGTAGTGGCTGAGATTGGCTTGAAGTCTGGAAAAAAGAAAAATAGGGAATGGAAAGTATGTTTGATGTTTGTGCTTATCCTTTTCTAGTTGTTGCAATGTAAAATCCACTCGTTTGGAGGATGAAATGAAAGGTGCCCCCCTTCATGTGTGCTAATTGCTAGCTCTCTAAACCTCTTAGGAATTTCCGTTTTCCTTTGCTCATGTCATCGTCGGCAGTGGAGGTTTTGTAATGAGAATTTAGTTAAAGTTTCGTCATGTCCCTGAGCCAGAACAATGCTTTCCTTGTTCTGCGTATCTGTTTGTGTAGTTCAGATAGCAGCAGGGAATAGTAACAATTTGTGTTGATTAGAATTCACTTAGAATTCATTAGAGCGTGTGTATGACTGCCACATAAATTACATTTTCTCGGTAACTTGTGGGACTCCAGCAGGGCGCTCGGATCCTGCGTGCTGAGGTGCTGTGTGTGGAGCACAAGATGGGTGGAGATTGCAGGGTGTCTCTGAAAGGGAGGACTCTCTTCTGGCTAGAATAATTTTTAATGCTTCGAGTTTTTTGTTTGGGGTTCGTGGATTTTAATGATTAATCTATTAGCCTTTTTAGATTTCTTTTTAGGAAGGTCATGGTCAGGAATGCATCCATAAACTTCAAAAAATATCAACTATTGTTTTCATTGTGGGAAATTCTGAAGAGCCCTTACCCTATTGGCAAGGCCATGAAATGGAATCTATGAGTATATTTTTATTGACAGGTTATTAACAGAAATTACAATCAAACAGAATTTACAAGTATACTAAGAACTCTGTTTTTCTAAAATTCTACCAAACACCTTTATGCAGTAGCATGAGCTATTTTTTTGTGTAGAATTTGCTGTATTATGGGTATTAAGCTGCGTATTTCACTGTGGAGTACCACGTTGTCTTCCACTTTATTTTCCACTCCCACTGAGAAATCTGTATTAATCTTACAAATTATGGGTTTTTGAGATTAAACATGAAAGTACATTTTAGGAGAAGGATAAGAAACGAGAAGGAGGCAACATAATGTATTCAGATTTTTTAGATTTTTTTTTTTTCAATAAGTACACCAGTTTTCAGCTTCCTTTATGTTTAAGTTTTGTAGGCTAGAACCTGTTGGGCTTCGGTCTTTTGAGGACTTCTGTTAGTTATTGTGGAGTAAACAAAATGATTAAACAGATTTTGCAGATTAGAACAGCTGTGAAAATCTCATTCAGAGTTACTTTATTCAGAAACTATGGTTGCACTAGGCGGTCCACGAAGTAGAAGGTATTTGGAGGAATTTCTGGTGTGTGCTTTACGTGTATCCTCAAGTGCTCTGAAGAAATCTGTGAAGAGGTGGTGCTGCCAGGTTGGCCTCCTGCCCACCTTGTACAGAGCGCTGCTCCCGTGGGGTTACACACGCTGAGACAAACCGCTGGCCCTGATGGCCAGAGATGAAGACCTGATGGCCAGAGATGAACCGCTGGAGTTCGAGGCAGAAATCCCTGCCTTCTCAAGCCTGGGAGTTAGAAGTACTAGTCAGGCGAGATCTTTGTGATTTATTTCTTTTTAGTCAGTAGTTAAGTAGTTAATAGGTTTTTGTATTTTTTATCTTTATGGTTCATAATTAGCATACCACTGGATTAAAGAGGATGCTAAGACTGTATTTGTTTAATTTTACTGACGTATTGACAAATTTCATGTTTAACCGGGAAAGTCGCAGGCTTAGCATTGTGCTCTTCCATGATTTTGTCCTGTCTCCCACCTCCTCCTCCACAAATTCTTTGATACCTGTAGGTGTAACTTGCCAGTGCTGGTAAGAAACCTTAAAATCTTTGTATAGGCAAGTTTTATGTAAACATTAAAAATGCTTTCTTTGCATTTTTATGAAAATACTGAGAAGATGTTACATTCTGAAAACAAACTATAGCTCTGAAGGCTATGCTTAGGTGTTTTTCCTGCTTTTTATTCCCAAGCAGACCAGTAAGATGCTTTTCTTAAAGCCAGGGCTGTGCCATACAACTGTTGCTCTGTGACCTGCTGTAAGTTGGAAAAGTCAAATGTCAAATTTTCTCTCAACAGAAAATATTTAAAGCTGGAGATACAAATCAAGACGGACAGCTAGATTTTGAAGAATTTATGCAGTATCTTAAAGACCATGAGAAGAAGATGAAACTGGCATTTAAGAGCTTGGACAAAAACAATGATGGTATGCCTTGATTTATTTTATTTGTTTAAATGTTGTTTGAAGAAACTCTGAATTAAAAAGTTATCTTCATTTATATTCTTTGTCTGAACTGGAGAGAAAAAGTTGTGAATAGGATCATAGTAATAGCTTAGTATAGATTGTAATAATAAACAGTTATAGTCTTTTTTTTTTCTTTTTATTATTATCTTCCAGGTCCATTCATCTGGGGCTCTTTGTTTCCCAGATGGAGAAACTGTACAGAATTTTCAAGTATCTATCAAAGCTAAAATAGTTTTTAGCTCACTGAATGTTTCCATTTCATTCGGTTCTATGATTTCAACGTGCTTACCTTCAGTTCTTGTAGTAGACAAACAAACTATGTCGTCTGTGTTTAAATTGGTTTCAGATAATCATTGCTATTATGTAGGTGTTACAATGCAACATAGCGAGCTCCAAGATGGTAAGTGTATTAAGCTTCATATTTTAAATATCTGTCATCTATCTTTTAATGTTTCAAGGGAAGATTGAAGCATCAGAGGTTGTCCAGTCCCTCAAGATACTGGGTATAAGCATTTCAGAAAAACAGGCAGAAAAGATCCTGCAAAGGTTGGGAATTATTATTTCCTGAAGTATTTTAAGCTTCTTTGTAAATTTCTATGGTTTTGTAATTCAGAGAACAGGCTAAGTGTGATTATAACTTTGAAAGGTGTTGATACCTTCAGTGGTGCCATTATAGGAATTCTCACTTATTTAATCTGTTCTTGGGTGGACAGTAAGTCAAGTCACTATTTGAGCAGCTGGATCTGGGAGGAGCATGTTATCTCATTTCCCTGTTAATATTGTTGACAGAATGAAGTGTCGTATTCTGGTTTTAAATGGAATATGCCAGATGCACTTGGATAAGTAAAGCCTGGTATTGAAAGGCCATGGCAGATTCAGCTTAAAGTCTCCACATGGAGTTTACAGTCGGTTGTCACTGATTTGATGGCCAATATTTAAAAAAACAAAACAAAGCCAACCACAGAATGAAAACTATACCCAGTGCTATTTCCTTATACAGTTTTGTTCAATTTCTTTTCAGTATTGATGCTGATGGGACAATGACAGTAGACTGGAATGAGTGGAGAGATCATTTTATGTTTAACCCAGCTACAGACATTGAGGAAATAGTTCGATATTGGAAACATTCCACTGTAAGTTCGACTTTTCTTTTAATCCAACGCAGCTCTTAAGTTCATCTCTGCTGGGCCGATTTGCAATATTGAGTATAACAGCTTCACAGTTATGTTTAAAGCATACCCATGTTTAAAACTGTTTTGTTTTCCTTTCTGTAGTCTCCCATTTACAGCAGGATAGTGTCATGTGAGTTTCTTCTGAACCCAGAACTTCATCAAAACTTTGCTAATAATTATCAGTAATTCTTAGGAAGGAATCCTCTTCTTCCTTTGGAGTTATTCCACAGAATATCTCCACAATATAACCACAATATTAAATCTTTTTATTTTCACGTTACAGTATATTCTTATATTCAGTGCTTTTGTTGTGTTGAAACATATAATAACATCTTAACTGTTTCTTAAGTTAAAATTAGTTCAGCATTTGCATTTATACAGTAACATTATAATAAAATCACTGGCGTGATTAGTGAGGGTTTTGTGTTCACGTGTTCTCATGCTCTTGTGCGATAGAATTCCATTTAAGAGTGGCAGAATATACAGCAATAGACTATTCACTGGGCAGATAAATTTTTAAAGCCATTGTTGAATGGAGCTCTTGCTACCTCAGTGACTGCTTTTAAGAACAAATAATACTGTTAGTAGTGGTCTTTGCTAAATATCATTCCTGTAGATTATTGGAGTAATCCATAAAGTTAGATACAAATCTATGTATCTTTAGGGATTAGTCAGTGTTTACATAGTTCAATAAATAAATTATGAGATTGGAAGCTTTCAGTGTTTCACCCTGTGCAACCTTTATTCAGAAATGCTTCCCAAAAGAGAGTTAGCTCCTAGTTTGCCGAGGAAAACACTTGAAGCATTTCTATGAGATCAAATATTCCTGATCCCATCCTAGTTAGTGGAAGAAACAAAATGCTCGATACTGCTATTATTAAACATAAGATCTATATTTTTTTTTAATGATGTGATGTTATTAGCTACCCCGAATAAACAGTTTTAGATGTTTCTTGTGATCTTCCAGTGTTGCAGTCAGCTGATGACCCAGTTATCACAGCCAGCAAAATCCAGCTATAAGGAAACACAGCTGGTGTTTCAGATAAGAGCAGATGTGAGACCTCGCATGCCTGCTTGGCATTGGCAGCTCTTGCAGTTTTGTTTTTGTTGTAAAATTTTAATTGCTGTCAGACTTTTCCAAGCAGATAGCTGCATCAGCATAGAATTATGAGTTTATAGCTGTGGCCTGTTATAAACTCCCTCAAATTTAGCTTTGTTTCTTCCCTAGTGGATGCGCATAGTGTCTCTGAGAACATGGAATTCATATTTTGGGAGTTCCGATTAATTTTTTTAATGATTCCGTGTAGTTGAGCAGCTAGTGATACCTTACGTGGAAACCACAAATGTCAGAAGGATGATAAGATTTTTCAATTAATCTGTTCTGTGTTCAATATCCAGAATAGTTGGTGCTTATCCTGTTTGTCTGGTGGCTGTATCTATAAACTGCATCCTGCAGTTCTTGTGTTCCAAATGGTGAAGGCTTCTGTCTACGTGACAGATAGAGAATGCAGTGTAAATTAGGGATATAGGGTCTACAACTAAAATCAGCAGTGGTTAGAAAAAAATTTATTACTTAATACCCTTTCTGGTCAGTACGTATGAGTTATTAAAACATTCTTACTTCTTTACAGGTTTAATTTACGCATAACATTGGCTTTGCATTATGTGCAGTGTACTTTTCTCATATTATATAAAGAGCAGATGCTATATTTAAGCGATATGAGAGATTCTGTAGTTGTAGGTCTTCGACAGGTTTCTTGCTGAAGCCTATCACATTGAATGACAATACAAACATGAACCTCTTGATGAAATTCCAAGTATTTATAGCTGAAAAAGGTCATTAATGTGTCTTTCAATGTGATGATAAGAAAATGCATTAAGCATTAGTCAAACTTTTCGTTTTGTAAGATAATACACAGCAGTTACTGGAAGTAGAATGTTCCAATGTGCCTGCTGTAAAAATGCTACTTAAAAATACTGGGGGAGCCAGGGGGAAGGGGCAGTCCCACATATGTGTGAAGAAGCTACCGTGAGAGAGAAGTCTTTTGTTAGCATCCTTAGGAGATTACCAAACTAATCCCAGGAGGCTGGCCGGTGAAAAGGTTAGCTGCAACATATAAGCATTTGAGCTTTAGTGCTGACTGTAAAGGAGTGCTGATCATGACAGAATGTCTTTGTTTGGGCCATACTCGAGGCAGAAATTTGTTGCAATTTTTAACGATGATGGTGCAGTCTTTGAAATGGTGGGTCTGTGGTTATTGCTCATTCTCTGTGTAGAAGTTGTTAGAAGTTGCTATTCATTGAATAGCAATAGCAATCTGTAGCAAGCTAATTATAGAATGGAAATTAGAGGTATGTTTTAGTTTTCACTTTCATTTTGTTGACATATTCTCAGGTTCATTTGGAATTAAAACTGTGGAGAAAATTGAGATGATGGAATGAGAGAATTATTTGCACATCTTTTGGATTCTAATAGGTGTTGGATATAGGAGATAGTTTGACTGTTCCAGATGAGTTCACGGATGAAGAGAAGAAGACTGGACAGTGGTGGAAGCAGCTGTTGGCAGGAGGAGTGGCTGGTGCTGTCTCTCGAACAGGTACAGCACCATTAGATCGCCTTAAAGTGATGATGCAGGTATGTGCAATGTCCAAGAAGTTTTTCATTTCCAATGTATCATTTCAGTTTGTAGAGAGCCATTGCGGAAAACTGTTGGCCAAATACAGTATCTAAATTCTGGAGGCCTAGTTATATTTTGACACTTTCTGTATTTTGTGTTCATAAAAACTGTCTTTTTCATAGTGATATTGGCAAAAAATGTGGACAAAATATTATAGTACTTGTGCCACTAAAATAAGATGGTTTTCAGTAGTGGATGTGTTTTTGCTAGTTGGTGTGTGTGTATATATATGTATATATATGTGTGTGTGTATATTTATATAAGAGCAATTTAATACTCAGGTGAGAGTTTCACAATCTAATCAGAGCAGTGTTCTTTACTGTCTTTGTGGTGTTTTTTTTTTTTAGGTTCATGGTTCAAAGTCAAACAAAATGAACATAGCCAGTGGTTTTAAGCAAATGTTGAAAGAAGGTGGTATCCGATCCCTCTGGAGGGGAAATGGTGTAAATGTTGTGAAAATAGCTCCTGAAACAGCTATTAAATTCTGGGCTTATGAGCAGGTAGGATGGTAAATCGGGAATAAAAATAATGGCAAATAAAACGATATACCGCTCTCACTGTTCATTATTTGCATTGTGTTGTGTAGGAGTTCTTACCATGATTGAGGATTTTTTCACAGTAATTCAGAGTGACTTTCAGATTGAAAATAGTCTATTTCTTTTAACAGAATGCTTGGTATTAGGCAGATTTTGCTATTGTATTACAAGCAGTGTGAATAAACTAAACCTGTCATGCTTTCTAAACTATTCTTTGGTCTGCATAGCTTTATATGGAGTTCTGCAGTAATGTCTGGTTTGCTGCGTCAGAATGACAACAACCAAAACCTTAGCATGTTATTCTAGCTGAACTTAGACAGGATTCTTTTAAAGTCAAATATGGTGCTGTGTAAGATGCCCTCATCCTGGATTTCAGAGTTATATTTACCCCTGAATCAGCTTTAAGCATTGTGTTAAGATCTAATCCTCCTTTGGAAAATGAACTCCTGTTCTGGTATAGTTAAATGATCTTTATTTTTCCTCTGTGGGGCTTGCTAGTGTCTCAAGTAAGACTTGGTGACCATACTGCAAATCTCTGTACAACTGTGAAATAAAAGCAAGGAAGAGTCAAGTAAACTTTGCAATATCAGAGGACTGAATGGCAGATTTTGATGCCATAGAGTAACCTTGAGCATATTCTGCCTTACTACTCTTGCTTTGCCTTTTGGGAGCTGATGGAGCATTCTTGTGCGATGAGGGTGTCTGAGTGGAACAGTATGTACAGCTCTCTAAGTGTCTCTGAACGTGGTAGTTGATCCTTGAATCTTTGACTGGAGAACTAGATCTGCAAGGGAGTTTGGTTCTTTTTTGTTACCTGGGGACCACAGTGTGGGTACCCTTGTGTTGGGTGTTTGTAGAATATCCCACAGTACTGTAGGGTGTTCTACAAACTGGCTGAGGTGTTTCATTATAAAGGATTCTCGCAGGCTGGAGTATTTGTTGCATTCTTGAGAATTTTTGTCCGCAGAGTTGCAATCAGTATACTGCTAATTTTCTTGGGTTATTAAATGTAACTGTAAATGCATGAAAAAGTAAGCCCAGCTTTAAAAGGCATTTTGTACTGTACTCCAACCTCTCATTCTAACTCTTGCCTTCACTAAAAAGCATGCAATGTTTATTTTATGTGTTTTAACTATGCAGTATAAGAAGATACTCACAAAGGATGATGGAAAGTTAGGCACTGTTGAAAGATTTGTATCTGGTTCTTTGGCTGGAGCAACAGCACAAACCTCCATTTATCCCATGGAGGTAAGTAACAGAAAATCTCCTTCTGTTGGAGACTCTGCCAAATGTCTGGTTCACCTCCAAAATAAAGCCCATTTGCTCTGGAAAGTATTGTAGGAGTTCTATGTTCTTGTATCCTAATTTCTATTTACTTTGGACTGACTTTCAGCATTTGAGTAGTTGGCATTTTATATGTACTATGTCCTTTTTGATATTTGTCATTTTTTAATATGAATTTGGCTGTATAGTGTTGTCTAAAGTAATTTTAAAATAAAATCTAGTTTAGGGGAAAAAATAAAACTCTCTCACATCTAAAATTAAGTATATATTCAAGTATTTTCTAAATTGGGTGTGAGTCTTTTTCCCAGTGTATGTAAGCAAGGAGTGGTGTTGTCTGTAGCAGAACTGATGACGTTCTGTTACGTTACGACTGGGAGCTGGGTCTCATTAGGAGATCCTTGTGGAGGGAAAGTGTAACAGCTACAGTTGTGGCGGGGTAGATTAACTGCTTTCCCTCTGTAGGACATACTTGTCTGTGGTACTACACATGCTGCAATTTAACTAGCGTTAATATATTAACTGCTCTAGGGTAGTTATTTCACATCCTTCTTTTTTAGATAGAGATAGGATATACTTCACTGCTAACAGTTTCTTTTCTGCAAATAAGTGGGAGTATATGTTGGGTGTGGAATTAAACCAATATCAACATCAAGATTTGGAAGTAATGGGAAATGTAACCTAAGTACCTTGTTCATAGGGA